AAGGCTAGGACTGCTCCAAACGCTAACAACCCAAACCCTCGCAAGGGAAGACAACCCGCTAATCCTACTAACCTTCAACCTTAATACGCGACCTCCACTCCTTCCTATCTAGAGTCATGTCCTCGGTGATGTGAAGCATAGCCAAGTCTTGTCTAATCACCTCTTCCCAATACTTCTTGGGCCTACCTCTACCCCTCCGCGTACCCTCTACCACCATTACCTCGCACCACCTCACTGGGGCGTCTGCACTCCGTCTCTTCACATGTCCAAACCATCTCAGAGACGGAGTGCAGACGCCCCAGTGAGGAGGTGCGAGGTAAATGAGAAGAGAAAAAAACTAGAACTGAAATTTTAAAAAAAATAGAAAATAAAATACATCAATAATTTTACAGTTTTGTCCCTACATATAAAGTCCCATTAGCCAACCTGAAAAGGGTAAAATAGTCTAAACAATCGACTCACCTAGACCCTAGTAGAAAAAAGGCCAACATGAATTTAATAATTTATATAAAGAGGAAAACTAGAATTATCAAAATCCCTTTATTTTTCTGATAAGAAAAAATTGAAACTCTCTTGAGTCATTTCTAGGGTTTCATTCCATCGTTCAAATTAGGGTTAAGGTATCCATCAAAGCAAAACCCAAGTAATCATGCCGAAGAATAAGGGAAAGGGAGGAAAGAATAGGAAGAGAGGAAAGAACGAAGCTGATGATGAAAAGAGAGAGCTTGTTTTTAAGGAAGATGGACAGGAATATGCTCAAGTTCTTCGTATGCTTGGAAATGGACGGTGTGAAGCTATGTGTATTGATGGGACTAAACGTCTTTGTCACATACGTGGTAAGATGCATAAGAAAGTTTGGATTGCCGCTGGTGATATCGTCCTTGTCGGACTCCGTGATTATCAGGCAAGATCCGATTTTTTTTTCGATTGAATCTTTTTCTTATATGGTTTTTGCAGATGGGAAGAAATTACATAGCTGTAATCGACCCTGTTAAAAAATGAGACTTTCCCTCTTTATTTCTCTCGTCCCCTATGAAAAATTGAGATTTTGATAGACCGGAATTGAGCGGAAAAGAGTATAGAGGTTCAACTAGTTCAGAATTGGGATGAAATTATTGATTGATTGATTGGACACTGTGATTTTGATTTTTCCTTCCTGTCTTTTGAGCTGTGTTTTATGTATACGGATTTTTCCTTTTCTAAAAGTTGTGGATTCCTCCCAAAAAACAATTGAGTAGATGATTCATATTTCTTGTTCGTTCACTGATTGTAAATTTTTTGATAACCTTGTCAATAACGCATGAGATGCATTATTGCAATTTGTGTATTTGGCCAACGCTAATTTAGTTCCACAGTCCTTTGATTAAAGCCTCTCTAAGGGCTGCGTACACTCTACCCTCCTCAAACCCCACTTGGGTCTACATGGGGTATGTTGTTGTAATCCTTTGCTTGAAGAACAAAGATGGTACTTTCATTTGATTATTGAGTGTCATAAGAGTATGAATGTAAAATCTTCATATTTATTTGTATTATGTTTGGTTATTTGAGTGTGCAAGTATAAATATGAAGTCTTTATACCCAGCTGTTGGGCTCAATGGTGAGTTCTGGTTGTCCTATATGATGTGATGTAGATGGAATTCTAGATACAATAGAGGATCCGCGCAATCTCCAATTACCCTTTATTGCACCGGCTTAGTGCAAGTATTTGTAAATATTTGATCACTTGTCCCAAAAAAAAAAATGTTAAGAATGCCAGGGAGACCTCTGGGTTTCTAAATGTGCCTCTTTCTCATGTGAGGATCTTCTCTGTAATGTTTTACTTGGGGGATTAATCTACATTGGGTTGCTTGTTTATGTTTTCTCAGTTTTTATATAATGTGAACTTGGATTCTCTTTAATTGTTTTCTCTAAACTTTCCTATTTGGGTTTTTGCCAGGATGACAAAGCTGATGTTATTCTGAAGTATATGCCAGATGAGGCAAGGTTGTTGAAGGCATATGGGGAGTTGCCAGAGAACACTAGGCTCAATGAGGGTATTGCTAATTTGGATGAAGAAGATGAGAATGCTGCTGATGATTACATTGAGTTTGAAGACGAAGACATTGACAAAATCTAAAACTCCTTATCTAAACAGTGCTGTCACTGGGGGTTCCTGTTGGCCTCACAAATATTTCCTTAGAGTTTGAGTTCAATACAAAAAGAAAGAGAGAGACCTTATATGTACCATTTTAATATGATTGAACTTTGTTCACTAGTATTTCTGTATGAAGATTTATGCTTTGATGAAGCAGATGCAATAATAGCCACCTGTTCTCTATTCTACTCATGCAACTCTTGATTTATTAGATGCAATAATAGTCTGTGTTGATACTCAGAAGTCAAAAATGAGAAAAGGAGAGCACCTTCTGAGTTACTTGCTCTAAGTTTTACTAAAACACTGGTGAAGGTACAGTTTGTTATTTAGTGGTGTGTTTCAGTGTTTGTTCTTTTGAGTACATGTTTGTAGGTTTGTAGCTATGACTTAAGATTTGGAAACAATTCTATGTAGTGGAGTGGTGCTGGATATCTCTTGCTGCCTTTGATTTATGGATGATGAACTTTAAAAAAGAAGCTTTTATGTTAAGTGAGCATGTCTCAGCCTAGTTTTCTTGCTATTTTGGTTGTAGCTTCCATGCTGGAAAAGAGTCCACTCAGTTGAAATTAGTCTGTCACACTTTTCAGTGTTGCATCTTGGGGGTTCTTTCCCCAGAATACTAATTCATGCATTATATGATTACTGTCTCGTTTTGCCTTGAAATGCTCTTAAGCAGTGAGACTATAACCCCAGTTTTTGCCATTTCTTCATGCCTTCTATGTTACGAGACCTAAGAGAATATGCATTGACATATTGGTATACGGAGATGCATTACTAAGCAGGTCAATCTCACTGCAATACTGTTCTCATTATTAGTCCAACAACCTCGCAGAATTGATGTTGAATAGCTGAATTTGAACCTTACGACTTGCATTTGTTTACAACTTTTCTTGTTTACTGAATCTGCACTATTCTTTTGCTTATTGACCACAAACTGATTCTACTATCGTTATGATTTGGCATAAAGTTGTATAGTCGTTAGTTCTACTATAGGACGCCTATGCTTTAAGAAGCTCTTCATGATAATGAAAAAAGTACAGGAGATTCTCCTATACTAATTCAAAAGCTTACATTTTAGAATCTCAATAATTGAACTACTTTCTTACTATTATTGAAATAAGAAAACTTCATATTCAGAAAAGAAAACAATGAACTTTCTTAGTTAAGTAGTCTCGTATAAAATTGGTGGTAGTTTGACCAGAGTGAAAGGGAAAAAGCTATGACTTGTTTTTCACAAGTAAAGCAACCTAATTAAGAATTATACTAACACAAAGCAAGGGGCACTAAGCATATTGTGGCATAAAGACAAATGGCATACCACAAAAGCGATAAAAAAGCCAGTTTAACCAAAACAAAGTGAATTGTTGCAAGGCATTTGTCTATGAGTTTACAAGGCTTATTCAAGCTCTTGTTTCCAGTGTCATCTTGCTGCTAAATAATGGATTCCTAATGCCACAAGATCACCAGCAAACCTTGCTATCTCTGTGAAAAACTTTCAACTGCATTTGGAATCAAATTACTAAAGTCAATGCATGTAACAGTCACTAGTTTCCTATCACAATTAGAAAAAGAATCTCACTAAGATGAAAGGAAGTTAAAAGGAGGTGGAGAAGCTGTTAAGCTCATCAATGCATAACCTCAATGACGGAAAAGTCTTAAAACATCTAAGACATAGGGGTTACAAAAAAAAACTTAATGGAAATAGCATGAAGTGCAATATATTCTATGACAACAAAAGAAAGAAATTTTGAGTTCTCCACCAAAGAGGTTGTTCAACAAAAGATGGTCTTTTAGCCTTGGACAAATAATCTTATAAAGTAGTCATCATGCTTATCAGAGAATATTAAAGCCAGTACAGGAATCTAGTGAGATAAGGTCAAATACCAGGAGAAAATTCATTGTCGCTGCGATATTTGGTTTGTACTAGTTTATGCAGTAGCTTCAATGTCATTATTACTAGCTGGATGTCAATTTTATCCAGAATTTAACCATCTAGGTTACATATCCATCTTCACATAACCATGGTGAAGACCAGCACAAAATTCAATACTTGAAGATCATTAATACGGTTAACACCATAGCAATCAAGATTAACTACTACTTCTTCATGGAATCATTTTTCCTGATTAGCCTCAATGTAAAGATTTACCATGGTGGTGGGAACAAAACTTACATTGCTTAAGGGCATAATCACTCTCTGTTACAAGTATCTCAGTTCCTCTCCTATATGACTTACTCTTAGTCATGCAGAAACCTTTGTAAATTTTTGCTACTTTAGATATCACCTAAACACTTAACACAAACCCAATCACATCTTCCACTACTGTCATATGTGATGTATCTCTACACTCAACCAAACATTCAAATAATGAAGAAATAGTTTTCTAAGAAAATTCAGTCGAGAAATATCTTCTATGGAACATTATACAATATACAAAAACATTGTATATTGAGAAAGCTCACATTTTGGCCCACTAAATCCCAGGGGGACACTCACCACCACCACATCCTAAACCGGAATAAATGCTTGAGGACAAATGAAATACATAAAGATGGAAAGATAGTGTTGTATCCTTGAACAGATAGTATGCATGTTTCCAAATAATCTGTAAAACAGCAAGCAGTCTCTCAATTGACAATGTCTATGGATATATAACACATTTTCTTTTAAGGAACAAGAGCCTAGATAATCTAAACGACAGTAAGCCAATGTCCTAATAATTTACTAGCGTAAAGGATCAAACAGTAACATTTCTTACTACTAAACCTAGCGCTTTCTTTCAGCTCATAAAACACCTTTGGATCATATCATCACACAAATAAATTTAACTCAAAAGGTACAAATTCTAGATCAAAATCAATCAACTACAACTCAATATCAAACTATCTATAAGAAATCCTCCAAGTCCAATCTAATCTATTTGGTCCACTTCTTCTAGTCGGACCTATTGCAAAACAATGCTCATAAAAATTGAATTTTTATTGCAAATTAGGGATTCTCAAGAAGCAAACACAAGGTAGCATTACACTATCACCTTACCCTCCAATCATCTAAGCTTCTCCTTTGCAGAACTCTTCTTAGCTGCCTCCATAACCTTCTCAAGATAACCTTCAATAGGTGGCGTCAAAGTAGCCATAAATCGATTCACAGGAAATGGTGTCATATCAGGAACCAATGCAGCAGCTTTCAAATTCTCCGGTAATGCCTCAATCGCCTCTTTCTTCAACCTCAACAATGTAGTTTCAGCAGCCTGCCTCTGCCTATGCTTGCGCATTAGAACCCTACTGTTCTCCTTCGCCAGCCTCCTTCCATCTTCAACTGTCAATTCATACTTAGGAAGCTTCTCTACATCAACAAGCCCAAGTGAAATCAAATCCAAACCCGGTGGACCAATTGGCCATGGATTCGCAAACTCCTTCTTCATCTTGTTCATCTTTTTCATCTCTTCATCTTTGGCTTTGCTAATTAAACCCATTCTCTCCCTTTCAGCTTCTCGGGCTTTTTCTTTGGGCTTCAATGATCTGACCGGAGCTGTAGAAGACAAACAATCTTCAACCATTTCGTCAAATTCGCTTTTCCTCCTTGGTGGTTCTTTTTTTGCAACTTCTGCGCCTTTTCTCGTAGTAACTTTTGATCTTTTCAATGGCTGCCCTGCTTTCAATTTACCTTTTCCCTTTGCTGTTCGACTGACGAAGCATTTCTGTATGAATTGGTGTCCTAGGGTTTCGATTGATGAGGTCAAGGGTTTGGATTTTACGATTTCTGTTAATCGCATCATGTTGATTTCACTGTGTAATGAATCTGGCACTGCAAGTGAAAAACCTAACTGATGAAAGTGACGATGTAATTGAAACCCCCTCAAAAACCCTTATTGGACCGGGGCAAGTAAAGAAATTAAGAAACTACAAGGGCCTTCTTGGAATTATATATATTTGATACCACACAAAATTTAAGAAATGTAAAACACTCTTAACTTGTGATTTTTGAGCCGAGTTTCTATATAAAACTGGGTATGTTACTTTTTAACATTCTAAATGTATTTACAATATGTTTAAAAAATTGTTGTGGAAGGAAAAGTGGGGGATTCACAATTGGATTTGTTAAAATTAAAGGAGGATTGGTTGGAAATGATAGTTTGATGTTTTAATTTAATTTAGATAAATGAATTTCTTTTGTCCTAGTTAGCATTGCCTTGTTGGTTTCTAATAATAATTGAAAAAGAACTAGTCGTTGAGGTGTGCACAAACTAGTCGAACATGTGAAAAAGAGAGGTCTTCCTAGTTCTTGTGTTTATCAGTCTTCATGCATTACTATAAAAAAACATTACAAACAGAACAATTGGTTGCATTAAACATGCATCAAAGGTTTATAGAAACAAAGGAAATATGTACTATATGATTTATAAGCACAATGAACTGTAAGGTAAATACAGAATTTTATTTGAAGATGTTGCTCTGATAAAACGAAAATTACATCAAAATCTACTCTACTTCAGACGAGCATATGCCTCATTGTACAGAATTGGTGCTGGCATTTACTCAGTTCCTGCAATCTTCTTCTTCAACTGCTCGATATCTTCAGCCAATTCTTTTCTACTTGACTGTCACCAAGAAAAACAAATTTAAATCACTAGTAAGTACTATTAACCATCTCCATAACCAAAATATGTGCCCTTTAAATGCAAGCCTATACATAGAGAGACGATTAGATTTTCTCAGCCGAGTATTATTTCCTGATGAAGTTATCCAAATGCTTTACTCAGTTGTCAAAGGACCTGGCTACAGGGTCTACACATGCTTCATCTCATGGTAAAAGATGCAGTGCTGACCAAATGGCAAAACTCTATAGCTGTTGTTACCGAATTTGATGCTAAAAGCAGATTTTTCTCAGATAATGGAATGAGATGTGGATAATGTTGCAGCAGATAGTTTAAAGGATCTTTGGGTTTTAGTGTAGAGGGAAGGCATATCGCGGGGGATATGATGGATTATAGGGTTATAAACTGACTAAAAATGAACCATTTGTTTCATATTCCCAGCATAATCTAGTCTTGACCAATTAGTAAAATACCATGGTCGTAAATGATTAGTTCACAACTACGGAAAAGAAAACAAGGTAACACACGACCTTGCAAATTCAGGCTATTAGTCAGTTGTGGCTAATTTACAGCCAATCTCCAACTCCCGGACAGATGTTTAACAAACCCCACCCCATAGGACGAAAGTAAAATAATGGCATGCTGATATAGGAAACAGGCTCTGTACTGCCTGTTTGGTGCTTGAGTTCAGTACGTAAAAGATGATGCGAGTAGCTACACAGTCAAAAAAACTTACCTTGAAGAGAAGGTAGCGGTAGACAAACCACCCAGTATATCCAAGACCTACCAACTCCATGATTTTTGGGAGCTGTAGAAAGAGGAAGAAAGATTAGCTAATTTAGATAGGTGAATGGAAACCACATAAAAAAATCTAAAAAGCAACACACAATCTCACTTCACTTTACAGAAATTAAACAGACTGTATCGTCTCACATTGATCAACCTACCAAAGGAACTGAGTTGATAGCACCAACAACAACTGAAGACAGCCAAACTGCAACAATTGCCCCACCTCCATAAACTATAACTGTAGACTTGTTGTCAAGAGCATCCCACTGTAAGCGATTAACCAAAAACGCTCATAGGGTTAGCACCTAAATATCATTTATAACACAGCAAATAACTACAAAATAGAAAACAAATATACCAGTATGACAGGTTTGGCAATAAAATATTATACAGAAACAAGCAACTTACACTAGTTTGGACTATGTACAGAACAACGTTATTTATTCTGAATAACCTTTAAGGTACTAATGCAGCCCAGAGTGTGTGTGTATATCAAATGACTGAAGTGAGTGCAATAGAGAAGATCTCAGCTTGCAAGTGTCCAGTTTACCTTTTCTTTTAGATCAGTCAACAATTCACTAGTATCAACAGCTCCAGATTCTTCTGATGAAGAGGCTTTGACCTGGAGTAGCGAAGACCTCTTGGGCACTGTAAAAATATTAACATAAGATGATGAGCACAGCAACATGAAGTATTGACTTTGGTATATAGAAAACAGCAGACTTTGTAGGCGATGCTTCGTAGTTTATGTCAGGTTTAACTTTAAGTAACAATATTAAAAACAGCAAAATGTATCACTTTCATCTGATCTTAGACCTTTTCTGCACCAGATTCTTATGACTACACTCCAACTTTTGGGAAGGCTTTCTGTATTCTTGGAGATAACATGATAATATCCATGAGATATTCCTTTCCTCATTACTCATAGACCTCTAAGATAAGTCGATGTTATGCCATTTTATGCTCTATTTTAAGACATCCAGTTGAGAGGCTGTTCAACACAGTATACAAGGTTCACTTCCAATTGAAGTATGGCATCTGACATAGATACCCCTCATCTGTTACAAAAAGCATTACAAAATTTTGAACCTCTGAATCAAATTGCAAGTAACAAATAAAATCTACACAAGTTTCAAAAACGGGGTGATGTCAGTCTACTTCATCAAAAAGAATCCGAAAACATGTGAAAGATATTACATGTAGGTAACCCACAGTAGATTCCACTGAAGCTATCAAAATGTGTAACATTCATAATTCTACTGAATGTGAAACAGAAGTCTAAAAGAAATGGCAAGTTCAAGTTTATTGACAATCGTCAATTATAGATATCATTTTCCCTTTTTCTTTTAAAAGATTGTCGTGTCCAGGTCAGCTTGTCGCACCACTATTAATCCACAATACAGCTAGCTACAGGTCACAAGCGCAAGTGTCTGGGCGTCAGGTCAACTTGCCCACAAGTATTCGAGTAGATGAACCCACACTGAGTCTAGCTGTTATCCGAACCTTTGACCTCAAGTTGTTACTGCTATACCTCAGGCACTCCACCATTTCTTTGGGATGATATTAATTTCCCTTAAAATAAGGACCCTTAAAGTGGCGCCAAATGCATTTGTAGAAAGAACACTTAACACTATATAACTTGTTGAAATTGTACACAAATCAAAATTTTGTTAACCAAAGGAATCAGGACCTAACTCAAGTAGCACGGGGTATATACGGAGGCTCTTTTATCATAATCAAGCAGTAGACGAGCTCATTGCAAATGGAAAGAGCATCACGATAACATCCTAGCAAATGTTAAAAACATTTTTGCCAACATGGCTTTTAAAGAGCAGATAAAGTAAGCTTCTAAATCAATTCATCAACAGTATGGAAGCAATTTTGTCACACAACCGCACAGTCCAGCAACAATCACTTCACATTGTTTTTTAAACATACAAGATTGAAATCAGAGACAAGTTAACACCTTTTAAAATTGAGGAGTCTACATCTGCACAACTTAGTACAGATAGTAACAAGAAAGACTACTGCACAAATGTTCAATCATAGTTAGGATTTAAAAAGACGAAAAAAAAACCCTTTTTTTTTCTAGAAAACTAATAAAAACAAAGCACTCTGTGTCCAAAATTAATTGATTTCATTGAATCAGGGAGATAATAAAATAAAAAACTGCCCTTAAATTCAGTGTTTCAGTATCATGCCTCTTAAGTGTAACCCCAATTCAAATTGCTCGACAAGAACACACAAGAGTGAAAATTGATTAACAAGTCAGCACCTTTCTAACAAGGTAACGTTAATAGGTAGTCCCCATCAATAACATTAATACAAAGAAAGGATCTTTTTAGAAAAATACTACTAACCCAAAGCACCATATGTCTAATTTAATTGAATTGGGTTCTCTTTTTCCCCCTAATTACAAGTGTAACGTTAATAGGTAGTCCCCATCAATAACGTTAATGGTATAAGAAACATTATAACAAGGACCAATAAGAAAGAGGGGTACCAGCAAATTTGAGAGAAGATGGGAAGGCAGTAGCAGAAAGGCGGGGTGGAAGGTAAGGCAAGGCGGAGCAGCGAGCTGGGGCGGCTTTGGTGGTGGAGGAAAGTGGGAAACGAGAGGCAAAGACGGCAGTAGCCGCCATTGAAGTAGAAGCTGCTGCCATTTGGCCAATTCTTGGAATCTTGGACTGAGCTGTGTATGCTTGGATTCTTGGCCTCTCTTTCTTTCTTGTGTATCTCAAATATCTTTTTTAGTTTCTTGATATCCCCAAAAAGTACCCTTTTTTTTCTTGTGGGAATTTTGTGTGCTTCTCCTACTTCTGGTTATCCATCAAAAAAATTTGATTGTGGAGTGTGATACGTGGAACCTCTCGGCTTTCTCATTGGTCTCTTCCCTATCTTCAAAATCTTAATTTTCCTATAGTTTTTTCCTGTTCATTTATAGTACGGGGTGGCAAAATCAAATTCAACTCGTTCAATTTGATTCAATTTATTTAGGTTTGGATTGGTTATTGACCCATCAATTTGTTAGCTCAATTCATTAGAAATTAAATTGATATGTAACTCAAATTAATTTTTGAAAAATCTTGTCAAAATATTTTTATTATTTTTTATTTTATATGTTATATATATTGTTATAATAAAGAAAAAAAATATTAGGTATTAAAAGTTTATAAAATAACAAACAAAGCTATTAAAACTTAATAAAAATTGGGCAGATTGGGTTATGACGCGTTACCTAATCCGTTTTGACCCAACCCATTTTGGACCAAACAAATTTGGGTTGGGTCTTGACCCGTTTATTCTCTTGACTCATTTTGACCGCCCAAAGTTTAACCCAACCCGGCCAATTGTCACCCCTAATTTCTAGTAAATGGGAACACTTTTCATTTGTTAGTACTCCCACTATCCCCTATTAGTTAGAGGGTGTTTGGATTGGTTTAAAAGTTGATCAAGTCTATTTTTAAGTCAAATTTTTGGAAGTGTTTGGCAGATATAAAATAACTTAAAATAAGTCAAAAAATTACTTAAAATAAGTTAGGAAGTGTTTGGCAAGGTTAAAAATAACTTAAAATAAGTTAGGAAGTGTTTGGCAAGGTTAAAAATAACTTAAAATAAGTTTAAATTGACTTAAAATAAGTTAAAAACCAAAAGTAAGTCTCCCCCTACTTTTTATTTTTGATTTGAAAGTCATTTAAGTTTGACTTTTTATTTGTAACTTAAAAGTTACTTTTTTTAAGTCAATCCAAACGGGCTCTTAATCTCCTTACTAAAAATAATTATCTCATATTAGTTGTCTATTTTATTAAGGTTTGTTTGGTCATGCAATATAAAACCATGATTTGAAATCATAATATAAGATGATGAGATGGAGTTGAAGCTGAAGTTTTGTTTGGACATGTAATTTGGACTTTTTATGTGGTATGTTTTGTTATGAACATGAAGAACGATAAGTTGTAAAGCTATTAAAATTGTCTTAATTCTTAAAAATCTTATCAAATAAGCATAGTTTATAAATCACGTAATAAGATACTATCACAAAGTTATTCTAAAAAAGTACAACATTTATTGATCAATTTAATTCAATAAAAAAATAAAATTGAACATAAATTGTAGAATCGTTAATATAATCATCTCATATAGTACAGTCAATCTTCTCACGTTGAACGTGCATTTCTTTATCATATGACTGAAAAGATGGACCAACATTATTACTTTGAGTCATTTGTCGGTAAATAAATTTGATAAAAAATAAAGAATTTGGTGAATATACAAATAGTGAAGTAGGAAATGATTTAAAGTAATAATAAATTTTATGTTAGTGAGAATAATCGTTAAATGAGTATAAATGGTTTAAAAAGTAATGATATGAATTATTATTTTTAGTTACATATGAAATAAATTGTTAGTAGATATAAATGTGGGGTTATTTTTACAAAATATAAACTAGTCGGTTAATTTTTGTATTTGAAAAATCTCAAATCATGATTTTTGGAGAATTTGAGATTTCATCTCATGATAAAAAATTATGAGATGAAATCAACGTAAAATCACATGTTCAAACGTTGATATCATCTCATGATATTAAATCATGAGATGAAATCGCATGGCCAGACTCCTACTAAATCAGAAAAGCATCAATTAAATGTTTCCTATATTACTCTTACAATTAATTTTTTTTTAAAGTATTCACATTTGTTTGTAATATTACCAGGAAGTTTTTTTAGGAGTGAATTAATAAAAGGGAAAAGGGTCAAAAATACTTTTTCAACTTTGGTTTATAGTTTGACTTTACCCTCGCCGTTAAAATAAAGTTAATGTTACCCCTCCCGTTACTAATTTTACCAAAATTACCTCTCATTTGACGGAATCCCCAAAATTGACCCAAATTACCCGAATTAAAAAAAAAAAAACATATTCCCTATTTTTAACCCAATTCCCCGACCTGCCCCGACCCCTCTAGAGGATAACCCGGTTCACTAGCATCTTTGTAACATTTAAATTTAATCAAAAAGAACATTGAAGTAGACCATTTTGAGATAGCCACCATGGAGTATTAGTTAGAGCTTAAATATGTTGTAGCATCTATGTGAACTTTGTTTTCTGTGTGCCTGCTAGCTCCAGTGAGAAATCAAATTTGTTAACTCAAATGGTTGTCCCCTATTCAGGAATTAAATAAGACAATTCAAAAAAGCACATTAGCTCTTTTCATCAACTGGATAAATTAATTAACTTGAATCCAAATAAACAAAAATATTTACGAATTTCACTACTTGAATTACAGAGTTACCCAGAAAGACCAATATGGATCAGAACTTAACAAGTATTTACCATATTTACTACTTGAGTTACAGAAGCACTGCAGAGAAGAGTACACTCCATTCATACCAAAACACAATCAGGTTTGAAAGGTATTAATCAGTCCTCTCTTTTAACATATATTCACCATATCATCAACAATCAATACAAATATACATACATTAGCAGAGAATTAAGAGTTATTTTCCAGAAGATCAACCAAAATGTACCAAATAATTCTTATGGACTCTGATAAGCCACCAAATTCCTCGTAAATAAACTCATACACCAAATGAAACTACGAGACCAAATTTTAGAGCTGAGACAGTTTTGTACAAAATCGTCAGCTAGAGGGGTCGGGGCAGGTCGGGGCATTGGGTTAAAAATAGGGAATAAGTTTTTTTTTTAAAATTTAGATAATTTGGGTCAATTTTGGGAATTCTGTCAAATGAGGGGTAATTTTGATGAAATTAGTAACGGGAGGGTTAAAATTAACTTCATTTTAACAACGAGGGTAAAGTCAAACTATAAACCAAAGTTGAGGGGTATTTTTGACCCTTTTCCCTTAATAAAATCATCTTCTTATTTATGATTTCATAATATACGTGTAAAAAGGAAAATTATCAACTAATATAGAACGGGGAGAGTATACTTTTCTCTGAATATTAATATTAGTTTAGCCGTATCGGACAAAAATCACAAAACACAATAGAATCAAATAATTACACATGTGATATCAATTAATTAAGATTATCTTTTTTTATGTAATTATTCCGTATTCAAAATTTATGGACTGACGTTCATACTGTATAAGGTCTATCAAAGGGAAATTTATTCTCAAGACTCAAATTTAAATTTTGATTAAAAATAAAGAAATCATATTCATTTCATTAGAATCTTGATGATTAACAAAATGAATAAGACTAAACCTTAAATTGTAACTATTATTATATTAGCTCTGTTGTTTGTAAGAATCTTCTGTGTCTATTTTAGAAATTTATATAGTACGAAAAGAAAATCCCTAGTTTCTTTTTCCTTCTACCTCCCTACCATATTATTGGTCATTTTGGTTATTATTCAAAAACAATAAAATAATTAATTTATATATAGTACTTTTATGTAGTTAACGATGCTAGTTAAAAAAATTTTTAAATATTGTAAAATTAATGTATGTGCTAATATGGAAATTGATACCCCAAAGCCACTCATTCTTTTTTAAAAGGAAAGGAGTAGTAATATTCCTCTTTTTTATTTTAAAAGAAACATTATTGTATTGGATTGTTTGGTAGATGGTTTAAATGTGAGTTAAGAAATTTTAAAATTAATTTTTAAAAAAAGTTATATATATAAAATCAATATGGTATTTGATTTGCAATTTAAAAATTCATATAATTATCTATATAGTACTATTATTTTATACAACATAAAAAATAAACAATTACTCTTCCGTACAATAAGATGACAAGTTCATAATTTCTTAGAATCTTGTTACCATTGTCCATGTTGGACATTTCAAAGATTAGAAATCTTGGATTTCCATCTTCTAACCAATTTATTTTACTATATAGCCAATAATAGACCAAACATATGGTTGTTTGGTGGAGTTATTTAGGTATTATTTAGTAATGTAAATATTATTATAAGAAAATTTATGTATTATTTTGTAAAGGAATTATTTATGAAAGGTCTAGTTATTTATGTATTATTCTCTCTATTTTTTAAAAAAATGACTTTTTTTCTTATTTGACAACATTTTAGAGCCTGTTTGGATGGACTTTTAAGCTGGTCAAACTGGCTTAAAAGCCAATTTTTTACTTATTAAAGTGTTTGGCAATTATCAAAGTGACTTATTTTAAGTCAAAAATGACTTATTTTAAGCCAAAAGCTTAAAGTTAGGTGAGGGGAACTTTTTTTTTTTTTTTAATTTAAAAGCCCTTTTATGTTGACCAAATATATTACCTTTTTGCCCTTAATTCTTTTATACAATTTCCAAATTGCCCATATTGAATTATTATTATTATTATTATTTTTAATTATTATTATTATTATTATTATTATCATTATTATTATTATTTTATTATTATCATTATTATTATTATTATTATTTTATTATTATTATTATTATTATTATTTTATTATCATCATCATTATTATTATTATATTATATTATTATATTATTATTATTATATTATTATATTATTATTATTACTATTCCTCTTATAAATAATTTGTGGTGGTAAAGAAATATGTGAATGATAGGAAATTATTATTACTTATGGATGTAAAATATAAATTAATTTTGTTTTAATTTTTTTTAAAGTATAAAAACCTTAAATTAATCAACTTTTCATCATGTTAACAACTTAAAGGGTATTTCAGACATTTTGATAAAAAAAAGTGTTTACCAACACTTATTTGCCAAACACATCAATAACTTTTTTTCAACTGCAACACTTTTATCCAAACACATAACTACTTATTTTAACATAACTAGGACCACAAAATTGAATAGTTTTTTTCATTTTGTTAAATTTCGTGTCAAATTAAACTATATCATTTTTTTTAAACGGGAAGAGTTTGTATAAAATAATAGTAGTATATAGATAGCTATATGAATTCAAATACCATATTAATTTTATACATATATAACTTATTTTTTAACTAATTTTAATATTTCATAACTCACATTTAAACGAGCTACCAAACGATCCTTTTTTAGAATAAAAAAAGAGGAATCTTAGATTTGTAATTTTTGCAGTGTTTAGCACTAAGAAGTATTCTAATTGATTGTGGATGTGAGCTTTCGGCTCATATGCATTCTTGAGTTGGCACTACTTGACTGAGCATAACCATCCACGTGTCACCTCGCCGGCCAAAGTTAGTATCCTCGTACCAAAAAAATAAAATTATAAAATCTGTATAATTTTTTTAAAATTTATGATTTTAAATTTCAAATTGGGATTTAAATTTTTTTAAAACATAAAACGTATTTCATAAAAACTCGTCATTATAAATTTTATAAAAAAGACTAACGCTCGAGGTGAATAAATTATTTGTATCACGTACCATATGAAAGAATTATATTAGAGAATAGTTAGTTATTACTGTGTGTTTTTTTAGACCATAAATCATTGTAAAATTATGTGTTAGAAAACTTACAAATGCAAACATCTGTTCATTAATGAAAATGACAATTTTTGTAATTTATTTAATGTAGTGTTTTAGAATATTTTGTTACCTTGTTATGAACTATGATTTGCTTATTTGGTAAGATTGTATAAGTGTTGAAAAGTTTGGATAGTATTCACAAATTATAGGATTTTATTTTTATGAGAAAAATACAACTTAAAAAAATTGAATTATATCTCTAAATAAAATTTCAATTTTAAATTAATCTGATTTAAAATCATGTCAGATCATTAATTTTTATCGTAATCACATAAAATTCGCTTAGTTAGGTATAAATCAAGGTTAAAATATAATACAAATTAAGTGATCTAAGTAAAAATCTTTTTCATACCATACGTGCACATTTATCTCAACAACATTACGCCTAAATTATCGAAGACGCATAATACCTAATTCCATTTGGAGACCAAAACTTAAATAAATTTTGTTAAGAAAGTTAGCCGTACTTTAGTTAAAAAATTGAAATAAGAGGTGTGGTGGCATGAATTAAGATCGCTTCAAATTAAACATAATTTTTCTAATTTAGTATAAGCATACAAAATCTCTTACAGCTATCAGGTCTGAATATAGAAATGGAGAAACTTTTGATAAATGAGTATTTCTCTTTAATTGTGTTATACATAGTGTAAATTTGAATTAATCAAGTTTATGAAATTTTGAATACCAAATAATATTCATTTTTATATCGACTTCTATTTCCTCCACCAAGATTTCTTTCTTCTACGTTGATATTCTTCTAACTTCTAATACACCAAAAAAGGTAACTTAGAATACAGATAGATTTTACCAACAAAATGGACCATTCAACCCACCTCCTTAAAATAAGCTTTTTATACAAATCTTATATTTATATAGCTTTGTCCTTCATGGAAGATTGATTGTGATCCCAACAAAAGTCCAGTTGGCACAATTTATAAAGTAGTAATGAATTATAAGAATAAAATTACATATCTTATTTCCAACTAATCCAATTGACACAAAATTTATTAAATAAAAAAATTGAGTAACAAGTAACATAGAACAATTCTTAAGGGGACCCTCTTTTTTTTGTACTTTTTATTAAGGTGACAGATTAAGGTTAGGGCCCTAAGAATATTAGAATTAGAACCACATTTATAAAAGATCCCAATTTTTTCATTATACCTAGATAATCTTGTTTGTTAAGAGTCCATCCCCTACTCCTCCAAATCTTGGAGATTAGCAATCTCAATTCTTGATTAATATCCCTAAAACCCCTTTTTGAGAGGGTTGATTTATTGTTTAATTAGTTATGATCTTCCATGCCTTTTTCTTGCATTAATTTATGTCACATTGATCAAGATTTTAATGTTTTTGAAGAAATGGGAATGAATGAAGATTGTTGATGGGGTCTAATAATAACAATAACAATATATGTAACGTCATCCCACTGATGTCTTGGTTATTATTATTATTGTTATCATCATTAAACGTTGCACGAGGATTGGATCGAGACTCATTGGATTCATATATTCATGAATATTCAATCAAGAATATGTCGAAACGATATACGGGTAAATTGTATGATATTCCCCTTCCTACAAATTTTTCAGGCATGGAAAGTTCAATTGTTCGTCTTAGAAGTTCAAGTTTTTGGAGAAGAGGGGCTAATTTTAGCTTCTTTAAAATCCCACACAGAGTATTACCATGGCCTTTTGTTAAGAGATTTGATATAATTTATGAAAATCTTGGGAATTTGTCGTCCAAATACTATGATGTTACAAATTACACATTTGTAACACCTGTTATAGGCTTTTTAGCATATGATGCAAGAAGAAGCAGAGAAAATTATGGAATGGTTGAGCTCAATACCATGGAAAATCACATTTTGATTCATTTCCCTCCAAACAACGACTACAACAAGGATAACAAGAATGTGAAATGTGTTAGATTTGTCAAAAATGGAACGATAGAGTTCAGTAATGTTACAATGAACAACACATGTATGTCGCGAGGACAAGGACATTTCGCGATAGTGGTTCCTTCATTGAAGCCAGAGGAGGAGGAAAAGGGAAAATGGAAATGGTGGGTAATAGGATTTGGAGTAGGAATTGTTGGATTAATATTGTTGATTGTGATGGGAATTTTGATATACAAATGTGTTAGGCTAAAAAAGAGAGGTAATATGGAGAGACAATCTGAAAAAAGTGAGGCTTTGGATGATGTTTGGGTTGGGAATAGCAGAATGCCTTCTGCTTCAGGTATCAGAACTCAACCAGTTCTTGAAAATAGTTATGTTCCTTGATTCTATTTTCTTTTCAACTTTATAATTTGTTCTTTTCAATTCTTGTCTTCTTTCCATTTTTTGGGTGTATATACATTCATGTTTAGGAAATCAATGTAAATTTTTACATAATTCAAACAACAAAACACCCTTCAAAGTGACTCAGTTGATTGGTGCCACATACATGTGTCTAGTGCGGTTTACTTTCCCGGTGTGATTTGCAGTTTGCATATTACACGGTGAGGGGTTTACCGAGTGCGGGTTATCCTTGGTTTCCAAAAAAAAACACCCTTCAAATAAATGAATAGAATATAAAGGCAATAGGCTCTCTCTTATGCATAAAAGGTGAGATTCCTTTTGAGTGTACAAACTGTCATCAAATAAACTTTATGGTTGGTTGAAGATAATTATTTAGTACAATTAAGAAACTCCAAAATGATTAGAATGTTCTTAAGTGAGATCATTAGCTGATAATTTTTAAATAATGCTATGCTATTAAACTATTAAGTTGACTGTTTTAAAGTGAAAGAAACATTCAATGTTTAACACTAACTGTTCACATACTTGTTTGTTTCTATTTATTTTTTAAAAAAAATACTAACTTTATTCTTGACAGGAAGAAGGCACAATTAACTAAGACTTTAATTTGTAAAACCAAAATTTTATAATGTTTTGACATAATGTATGGGCCAATCTGAAATCTTAGAATAATCTTCTGTTGAGCTGTCTGCATTTTTTCTAAAGATTGGTCTGTAAGCTAAGAATTTTCTTTAATAGTTATTGCACTTGATTAAACCCCTGTCAACAAAATTTTTAAAGGGCTCGTTTGGTTGGGGAACAAGTTATCCCGTCCCCTGATTAGTCATCTCAGGATTGTTTAACACTACAATCCCGGGATAACTAATCTCATCCAAAATTATTCCCGGGATTAGTTATACCTTATACCCAATGAGCCCCAAGGCTGTAACCATTTAAGCCATTTGGAAAATGGTGTTTCTGATGCAATCAGGAGTATCTTTTGCTGGTGTGCATTAGTTTAATCACAATCTGAGAAGGAATAAGTACTTTAATATATTCACAAACTAAATCCATACCTAATGATTAAATTCAACTCATATAGACAAAGATGGATTGTGTTTTTTTATAAGAAAATTAGATTAGGATATGGATCACAACTCATAGATGAAGTTTGTTGTTATGGGATGATGCAACTCAATTATCAAGTCCTTGTTTTAAAAGTTTCCATCAATATCTGTCACATTTTAAAGATAAGCCATATCATTTACTGGAAAAACTGTTTGTCGTCTTTACACCAAACTAATAAACGAATGTCATGTGTTTGCATATGGCAAACATAACATGGTTTGGTGTAAACACCGAGTGCAGATAAGTCTGTTAACTTGACAAGTAATGAGTACTCATAAGTGGTGGTTCATTATTATTGCTGAACACAAGAAATTAAACAACATTGTCAACCTATAGGCTGGATATCACAGTACTTGTGAAGTGGAAAAGGAGGATCAAAATAAGAACCATTGAGAATGGCATATGCTGTGAGCTTGTTTGCTGCATCAGTGGCATGAATTCCATCCCAGCTTACATAATTTTGTGGATCCTTACAGGCTTTTGCTGTTACCGTTTTCCCATTTACTTGTTTCGTATTTCCACATAACACTTGCTGGTTATAATTGTATAAACCACCTCCATATCCACAACATGCTTTGGTTCCATATCTTAGCCCTGCAAAAACAAACAAACTTTCAACATTTGAATCTTTACTGTTGAGCATCTTAAAAGAAAAAGAAAATGAAAACAAGTAGTACCATGAGAAGTGGGGTGTTGAAATAGCTCCAAGAGCACAGTATGAGTGTCGACATATACAACATTTGCATCAGCAAGATCCTTTCTGGTTTTTGCTAATGCTGCTTTAAGCATATTGTTATAATCCACCACTGCATTATTGTATGATATTAGGCAACCAAACTGGTCTATATCAGAAATGTTATGAGGCAGTTGCACCAGAAATGCAGGGTAACATCCAATTGGTGCTAGATTTAGCACCCAAAATGTTCTCCCACCTAATGCATATATCTCCTGGAAAATAAAACAGAACAAGATAGCATCAAATAGGCGTTCAGTTAGTTTGAGAACGAACAATAATCACATGCTTCCTCAACAACTATCTTGAATGCCCTGTGATCTCTCCGTTTAAAACGAGTTAAAGTCTTCCTTAAAATTGGAGATGGAAGGTACTGCTGTTTTAGATATTATATAGTCATGATGAATAGCAGAAATCCTGAGATCAAATCCCACTTTCAGTCATCTATCAAAAGAATTACCAAAAAAACAAAGAACCAAGCCCACAAGTAAAAAAACGTTGAAAGCATAATAAAGTATTCATCGAATGCTAGGACATTGAAGTAAAAAGATGTTTGTTACCCTGATGGTGCTGGCAATTTGGGAAATAACTTGAGGTAGAAACTCTTTCACTCCACTTATTCCTAGTCTTGCCAAATTTCCAGTAAAGTCATTTTGGCCAATGTAGAATGTATATAGTGATTTTCCAAATATGTTTGGGGAAGGCAGATTACTTTTCCCTGAAAATTCAGACATATACAAAACAACGTTACATTCATCGAATCTTTTATAGAATGAAATGTTAATAATATTACCTTTACGAGGAAGTTCATCGACTTTAACCTTAAATTCTTTCATCTGTCTAAGCTGAATCTCAAGAGAAAAAGGGCTCACACCAGTAACAAATAAGGAAGTTTGTGGCAAGCGAACTGTGGATGCTAATGTTGCGAAATTAGCACCATGTTTGTAATCAGATCCAATTGATTGCAGATATGGACTCAAAAATGGCAAATCTAATGCTTGAGCTGCACAACCAGGAATCTCAAAAAACTGTCACAATTTTAAACAACAATTGAAACAAGACGAAGAAAAAGGACAAATATTTTCCTATACATACATAATTGTGTGAAAAAATCTAGTTTAACTATGTGACCATCTCAATCTAAACGTGTTTAAGTTGTAAGAGGGAGTACACTTTTATTCACTCAACTATATCTTCAACACGCCCTAATAGCTGTGTATAAGTGTTTACCCCACATCCAACTCGAATAAACGTTTATTTACTTCTCCAATACACTGAAAAAGGCTAATAATGTATGGATAAAATTAAGCCACATGAAGAGGTCACAGGTGCAATAGTTAGGATAAGGATGTAGGACAAAACCTATAAGGACAAACAAAGAACATACATAGACATGGACAAATTTTACTGTACTTTTTCCAGCTAAGGCTATTTCGTTTTCTTCCAATGATACTTCTATCCTCACTCCAAAAGAGAACACTTAACAGAGAAATGGTCACAATTTTCACTAAGATATCTATCTTCTTTCTAACTCCTTAGGGTCAGATTTATAGCTAAATATATCAGTAGATGAGTTCAGTTCTAGGAGGTAAGAACCTTAAATTAATGTTGAACTTATAAAGCTTAAATCTTGAATCCGCCTCTGCATACACATTCCTTCTTCAGAATTCAGATAACATTTAACATCTAAGACAAACCATAGCTCTCTTTCGGTAACGTAACGTTTAACATATAAGACAATTAACCATTTTCTATGGCTTTTTGCTAGTAATGTTGTTGTTATTCTAAACTTGAAGGCTTATGATAGACAAACAAAAGAACATAGTATAGTGAGACATTAGTGATATTTCACCAAGAAAATCGACGACAACTCTGCCATCAGTTGCCCTTCCAACAGGTTTGTTGAAGTAAGTCATTCCATGAGGAGGGGCTTGAGCTGGGAAAGCTGCCCAAAAACCACCAGTATCAGTATTTGAATCACCAAAGTTAAAGATAGCCTTAAATGCACATTGTTTGCACTCTGTTGCAGCCACCATAAACAACAACAATGTTATTGCTCTCAAAGTAGTCATTGTTGTTTTTGGATATTATTGGAGTAGTAATGGGATAGAATGAATGAAAACAATTTTTGTTATTTGTAGACAGAGAGTGGTGCATGTAGACATCAATTGGTGACGCAAGTTAAAACAAACGTTGTTAGTAACGCTTTCCAATTGGATATATATTTCTTCCCTTACTTTTTCTCAATTTATTCGTATCAAATGGGACCTATATACAAATTTCAGAAATCAAGAAAATTTTGCATAAATGAATTGAAAAGGTTGTATACATGTGTAAATAGATTTTTACACCATCATGTCATCTAAAGATAATAATATAAGAAAAGTAATTTAACGGTGTAAAATTTATTTACACTGACAATGTGTATTCTTTTTTAGTTAAAAGCTGAGTGAATTAGGAAACGGAGAGAAATGAAATTAGTCATGTAGGATTGAAAACTGTTGTTGCAAGGCATAAGGCCTCAATTTTTACACAATGAAAATCTCGAAAACATTCTCCCCTCACTAGCATGGACGGATATACAAGATAAAGTACTTGTTCATCTGACTCTAGTAATTTTTGCTCAAACTATATAAATGTTAAAACATTTACTAAATATATTCAAAGATAATATCTTTGAAATGATAAATTTAAAATCCTAAATTCCTCTCAACAATAAAATTCAAATAAAGAGTGAGAAATCATACATCACCTTGAAAATCAATAATAACCGATATCAGTATTAGACTCTCCAAAGTTAAAAGGTTTGAATTAAATGCACATTTTTTGCATTCTATGAGGTTAATAATGTTTATTAACCTCATAGTAAAGCAAAAAAAAAATGTCTCTTCCTTTTCGAGATGTTATTCAGTATTTTTCTAATATATATAAATTAGGGGTGTATATGATCGGGTTGGTTTGGGTTTTTCAAATATCAAACCAAATCATTTGTGTAAAAATTTTAAATTTATAAACCAAACCAAACTAATAAAAATTGGATTTTTTCGGGTTTTTCAACCTCAGGTTGGTTCGGGTTTTTCAAATACCAAACCAAATCATTGTGTCAAATTTTTCAATTTATAAATCAAACCAAACTAATAAACCTTGGATTTTTTCGGTAAAGTTTGCATACAAACATATAATTAACTTGTGCTCCAAATATTTCTTTAGTCCAACCAAAATACAATTATCTAAGGTATTTCTTAAGAAAATAACACAAAATATGAGATGAGTACTGATGACACTAAAATATTCAATAAAAAATAATAATGAAATCATCATATAAAATAAATATTGCAAAGTCATAATGAAAATGATCATAATTTAAAAGTACTAAATCATGCTAAAATAAGTTTAATAAGTATTAGTTACATCACTAAATATTTAAGGAAAATTAAAATTAGATTATGTATTTTAATTGTCTAATCCAATGTAAAACTAAAGAACAAATATTCAATATTATTGTCATTCTTAGTGTTGAATTGATTTTCTTTTTGCATTAGTATTAATTTGATTTTGATTCAAGTTTTATTATAATTATCAACATCTATGAACTATAATATTTATTGGACCATTCCGAATTCTATGTTTTAAACTTGAAATAATATATTAAAAGATAAAAACTATGAAATAGTATAAAAATATTTTAAAATTATATCAAAGTAAATATTTTTATGTATAAAATAAATTTTTAAAACTACATATATAATGTCGGATTGGTTTGGTCTCGGGTTGATTTTTTTTAGTTAAAACCAAACCAACCCAAATATAGTCGGGTTTTTTTTTTCAATACCAAACCAAGTCAAACCAAATCACTTGTCGGATATTTTTTTTATTTGACTCGATTTGCTGTTTGGTTCAATTTTGTACACCCCTAATATAAACATAGATATAATTAAAAGAAAATAGATTGTTTGTTTTTTTGACAGTCTGGGCTAGGAGAATAAAGCAACAAATTTAATTTTGGGCTTAATGAGTCCATACGATACCATATGGGCTTGGGGCCCAGCAGTAAGTGGCCTAAGTACATCCTATCTCCAACTCCAAGGTCCAAAAGTACATGTCAATTCTGATCACCAAACCAGGAAGTACAAAATATTATTTTTCTGAGAATGCATATTAATTTTAGAAAAAATTCATTACAAAAACACATATGCATTTATTGATTTGACACAAAACACAATAATACATTCCAACTCTTAAACTATTCTAATTAGTACTTCCTCCATTCGTTGTCATGATTTCTTTTTTTAGAGATAAACAATAAGAATTTTGACTAACATTTTACGATGTATTTTTCATAATATTGATATGCAAAAATTTGCAATTTATAGTACTTTTCGTATAGTTTTTAAATATCTAAATTTTTTGTTTAAATAACGAACTAATGTTATCTAATAACTTTAAAAAATAGTCAAATTGACTTTCGAAAAGCACAACATAATAACTAAAAATTGACGGAGTGAATACTAATTAACATGGCATAAAGGGTCTACTAGTATATCCAAGGACCCCATCTGATTGCGATCATTTGCACTTTTATCCCTATTTTGTGTTGTTTAAAATTTATGCACTTCATAATAAATATTATTTTCATGCAATATAAATTTATATTTATTTTGACGAGAGGGAGTTGCTCGGTTGGTAAGCACCCTTAACTTTCAACCCGAAGGTTGTGAGTTCAAATCACCAAGGGAGCAAAAGGGGTGGGAGCTCCTAGGGAGAGATTAAAATATATATATATGTATATATATTATTATTATTTATTTTTATTTTTATTTTTATTATTATTATTATTATTATTTTTTAAAAAAAAGTTTTTTTTTTTTTTCCTTCATAATATCCCATAAGTTATGTGAACGAAACTCATTTAAAAGGGCAAAACATGCAGCTTTATGTCCAAGTTGAGGTTGAGGAGGGATTGTTTGCATAAGAAGCCACTTATGTGGACTTGTATGTAGAAGTTAGTCATTTATTCAAAATTAGATCAATGGTTATAATATTTGAAAATTGAGGCCACTTAATTTCTTACCATACTTTTAGTTGAAAAATATGGTTGTAAGTAGTAAATAATTAAATATTCAGAGATCAGATCTCAATTGTATGGACCACGTCAGCGGACCCATTGGTAAAACCATATGCCTGCTTGACACGTCACGCTGTCGGTTAACGCCAAAGGTGTCACACATCAGATTCTTCTTAGTCAATTCTTTGCTCTCTTTTTTTGAAAAATAAATAAATTAAGTAATAAAATAAAAATAGATATGACTCGCCATCATTTTTGAATAACAGTCATCTTATATATAACTAGTCATGAGAAAGAAAACTTACGGAAGTTTAACTAGTTTAGGAGTTAATTATTAGCATACACTCTAGTTTGAAATATTACGAATCTTATTAGATTTTGGTATGTCCAGATACATGTATCACAAGGCATAAGAGGTTAGAGTTAGGTGTAATTTATTCTACATATATTATATCTAAGTGGATTCATATATATCTGAGATACAAAACAAATCTCCCTTGTCACTCTCGTATGTGAAATGATATCTCAAATACATGACTATCTAGCTTGTCACTCTCGTACAATCTCGCTTGTCTCTCTCCCTATTTTAGTGTAGTATTGGGTAGTAAAAATATATGTATCTAGCCATCTAGATGTATCTTTTTTAATATATATAATTTTAAAAAATTAATTAATTGTAAGATAAATAATTATTTAAAAATATAAATAAAATTAGTATATATGATATAAATTTATGTCTAATAAGTTTTAAGATAGTTTCTCCGGTATATTTCGGCAAAAACTTTCTGAAATTAAATCGTCAAGACCATTTTCTTTATTTAATTAAGAAATTAACCCTTTAAAAATTCCGTCATATTTGCGGCAGAAAAAGAAGAAGAAGAAGATATCAAGTGTGACGTCACATAACCAAAGCCACCTGTCATAGAAGATCATTAATATTTACTAAGGGCTTGTTGGTTTCGCATAGTTGTGAGCATAGTATGTATATGCCAAATTATCATATCATATCGAAGTTTTTAATATTGTGGTTTTGATATTACAGTATTTAATATAATATATAATAAATATTTTAATTATTTTTTTGGTATTTAATACGTTATTTGATATTTGGAAATGATATACAGAATATTATATTGAAATATATAGTTACATAAATAATACTATATACATATTATTAAAATATTAACAAATATACAACCTAGTATAAGTATAAACTAAGGGGTCGTTTGGGTGTGATGGATAAGAGGATTTAATCCAGAGATAATTTTTTAGTGGCTTTTTAATCTGTTGTTTGGCTGCAAAGGGTGGAAAAACTTATCCCAAGATTAACAATTAGTCATGCGATAAGTTATCCCTCCCTAGAAATGGAATAATAATCTCAGGATAACTTATTCAATTACGTACCATGCCCACTACTAGTTTGGAAACATTAATACGGGATTAGTTATTCTGAATTATTTTTCCATTTTTTTTAACATGAAATAAAAATATCATTACATTCTCACAATAATTAATCATACGATAAAGTTATCTCATGGTTTTTTACAATCAAAATAAAATAAATTAATGTCGAGATAACTTGTTTCATATCTCTCTTATCAAACGAGCCTAAAAGTCGTACAGATTAGCCAATAGTGTAGAAACACGTTTACATAAACACGTGGAATTATAGAGGTGACACGTGGGCCAGGCTACAAGTTGTATCTAGAAGGTGGTGATGGTGAGTTGGCCTATGCGAAAGGGCAAAAGAGGTGGGGTCCACTTATGTCACTACAGGTTGTGGGTGGTACACGTCATTTCGGTGGACCAAAATAAATTAAAAGTTTGAAATTTTGGGCCCATTTTGCAAGTACGTGTTAATATGCTTCGCAGTCCACCTTGGCAATTTGCTATACCGTCTGATCCATCAATCCTCAACGTGATATAAGTATTTGTTAGATATTCAGATATTCGTCATCTATATTAATTTTTCTAAAAATTAAATTATATGAATTTTCATCAATTTTACAGTATAACAAAACTTGTAATTTATAATATTTTTCGTATAATTTTTTATATT